TTTTTTTTTTTTTTACCTCTATTGTGGAGCATTCACTCAGCTGGAAGTTTGAAGAAAAGTTTTTATGAACTATATGACATCTGCAGTATCAGAGTTTTTAAAAAGTCAATTATATTACTAAGTTCATCCCAATATCGCTGCCTAAGATTAAGTAAATCTGATCAAACTGTCAAACTAGAAAAATGCTAAATATCAATGAAGATATTACTTGATTTACTGTTTAGCTGTAATATGTAAAAGTTTGTTGGCAGGGCTGAATACAGCAGATTGAAAACCAAGCACCGCCTGACTCGCAGTTTCGTCGACTGTATGCAAACATTTACGACGGCATTACTGACATTTCTGTAAGAACTAAATCGAGTTAATGAGCTATCATGTCTCCGAAGCCAAGACACAAACCAAACTGTAGACTTTGTGTACCGTTACACCTCTACCAAGAACATTCCTGTAGATTTAATGTTATATATTGGGGTCTTTATAGGAAATCATTAGGAGACTATAGGACCTGTAAAATAAAGTGTCACCACGTTTTTAAACCTTTATCAGTCAGACTGCTCAAAATATTAACAATAAATAAGTTAACTGTATATATTTCATCTCATTTACAACTTAAATAATTTAGTGATGCTTTAGCGTCTTGATCACATCGTCCACGGACTATAATAATCAGAAATTAGGAATACAGGAAGTCTAGTTTTCTAGCAGCAGCCACAGGTTGGCGTTCAGGATCAATCATTACTGATAAACACAAGCAGAATCAGGGCCGTCGGTGGTCCGTTGGCTCACATCATTGCGTGTTAAGGAGGTGGTTTAAGAGGCAGACACCTCAGTGGCTCTTCGGCTTGGGGAGGCGGGAGGAGCTGGAGGTGAAGGCCGCCATTTTGATCTTAACCCCAGGAGTGCTCTCTGGGTCATGAGGCGGCTGCCTGGCCGCCCCTGTCCTCGGCGGCTTGGTGGCAGCAGAGCTGGAGCTGGGGGTCTGAGACAGGAAGAGGCGGAGTTTGGAGGGCTGTGGGAGCTGCAGGGATCTGGTGTAGGTTCTTCTCCTCTCTTTCGTCTCTCCTTTATTCTCCTGTTTCCTGGTTTGTTTCAAATAATCCATTTCTCCCTCGGTTAGGGGGTCATCGGTGGCGTTGTCAGCAGGGATGTTGGGTCTGGTGGAGCAGGGGTCAGCTGTAGGCAGAGCTTGGGTTGGCGGTGGAGCTGGGTGTTGGTCCTTTAGTGGTTCCTGGTCTTCCTGGCTGGAGGGGTGAAGTATCTGTGACTGAAAACAAAAGAGAAAAGTCAGAAAACAGCAACAAGGATTAAAATTGTATGGATGTTAGACTGCTGATGTATGACAGGGGTATAAGGAAATATCGTATTGCGATATTTTGTTTCGTCATTGTATTAATTCTTAAAAACACAATGTTGGAAATTACAGCGACTGTAATAAATATAAATTCAAAGCCAGATTCTTGCCAATATACAGCCCTAATGTTTCAGGAATCTTTGAACATATATGCGATTTTGTATAATCTGTGCTGCGCTGTTTGAAGGCTGTTTAAATATAATACAGACGGACAAAGAAACAGAGAGACACGAAATCTCCTTTGTTAAATAATGTATCACTTGTTGGAAGTGAGAAAGAAAGGCATTGAGAGAGAATACGAGAAAGAAAGTTATTCTTTCAGATGACTGGTCATTTCAGACATCAGCGCTTTGATCTGTGTGTACGGTTTGCTTTGATGTAGGTGTGTTCATGAGTGTGTGTTCTCTGAATCAGTAAAAAAAAAACATTGTACATTATGTTACATATTATAAAAAAAGGTCCAATTTTAATTTCCATGCTGTAACTTTGGTGATGAAAGTGTTGAAAAGCTGGACGAACAGAAACAAACAGCTGAAAATAAACCTGTTTCTCACATTCTGAAAAGGTTTCAACTTGATAACAACATTGTTTTTATCTCTCTCCACAGAACATGTTTTATTCATCTATTTGTATTCATTACAGCTAATTTCCAGTGTGTGTTATCATGTAAATAAAAGTTAAAGGTTTCATAAGCGGTCAAAAGGTTGGCAGTGAGTCATTGCCAGAGGCAAACCCGGATGTAAGCATCGCTCTGGTTCTTTCAACAAAAAGATGACAGTTGTTTTTTTTTTGCAGGTTTATGATACAGATTTTGTTCAGTAAGATCAAGTTGTAAAATTTCAGACAAACAATCACACCCTTGAACATCTTCAATTTCCAAAAGTGTCCTACTGTTCCTACTTTCAAAAACATTCCCAAGACTCTTCTCTGTCCAAAATGTGCTGACCTTTTTGAAAACATTGCAACCTTTCAAAGATGTCTTCACTTTCCAAAAAAACAAATTCCTTTCAAAAAATTTCCCCAATTGCAAAGTGTCCCAACTTTCCCGAGTCTCTTCTCGTTCCAAATATGGCGTCATCTTACAAAGAAGTCCTGACTTTTTAAGAACATCCAAATTTTTCCAAAACAAACAATTTCCAAAAATGTCCTGACTTTTCCCCCCCCAAAAAATGCTTTCAAACTGCAACTGCAAAAAATGTCTCAACTCTCCTCTCTTTCCAAAATGTCCCCACATTCCAACATCTTCACTCACAAAGACATCCTCAATTTCCAAAAGTGTCGTCACTTTGACCGCCTGCTTCTATAAATGTCTCCACTTTCCAGAAACATCTTCCCTTCTCTCTCTCGGTGTAAAAATGTAAATGGTCCTCACAAATATAGGACAGCAGGTCATTGAGCGGTATGAAACGGTGTGTGACTGATACAGAAAGCGTTAAGCTTCTTGTTGCTTTCCACGCTTTAATCCTGCAGCCTGCTCTCATCTACACACTGATAATCCGATTTACACAGAGAATCAGAGGAAAAGTTAAAGAAAAAACTGAGCAGTGAAATCCATCATGTGCTACAATCTCAGTTTATTGATCCTGGAAAACTCCTGTAAAGTAATAACTAATCTGCTGCTACCACTCTGCTGTCATTCACTTATTTGACAGTCTTCACTCACATCGTTCCAATTTATTTATGCCTATTATAGCCGGGCAATCCTAAATAAATGAACATGCTGTGATTTAACATATATTAATAATACGATGGTACTTTGGGGGATACCTCACAGTTCTTTCAGACCTGAACTTATACCAGGTTTTGAATTTGGAGGCCAAACAGCGCTGGAGTTAGGGAGAGTTTTATTATTGATTATTCTGTCAATTATTTTTAAACTTGCAGACCTGCAGACTCTCCGAGGAGATATACTGACATAGATACACATAAAGAGAAAACTCTGGACAAATACAAAACAAAGATTGGTTAACACTCTTATTTAACCAAAATAATAAAATAATGTAAAATGATAATGTTAAACATAAAGCACACTGTAGAAACATTATGGCTACCACACTGAAATTCTCATACACAATATCGTATCTTAAACAGTCATCATGAAGCAATCGATTCTTTCTTTCATTCAACTTTTAACACCTCAGAAAATATTACCACCGATGTGACCAACGTTGAAATACAGCAGCGAAGGTCGACCCTGTTCAGAAAGGCAGGTTTATTCCTAATAAGAAAATTACTGATTGACGAAACCAGTTCAAGAACCAGAGCTAATTTGGTGATAGTTCCCATTTGGAGCCACAATTACAGTGTTTTTGAACCATTCATCTGACCTCCGCCCGGTATCTTATGACCACAGTTTAGCTCCATGCCAATCATGGATGTATGAGTGCGCTGATACTAACACTAAATATTACATTTCAGCACACTTATAGTTTAATTTTGTTGTATTTTGATAGTATTATATTTAATTTTTACACAACTTATACTTGTACCAAAGTTTGAGAACCATTGGATTTGTTGATCAAGTATTAATAATAAGTCTGATTTTATAGTTTTGGGCAGGGTAAACAACTGGGTGAAAGTATGAGGACATTACAATCAACAGTGCTCGTTACATTCAACACGAACAACACGACATTCACAGAAAAACAAACTACAAGTAGCAACTAAATGACGTTGATGTATTGTTTACTGTTTTTATACAGTAAGATTTTAGTTCAGGCTTAATTCACTTGATGTTTGAGTGTGAATGGACACTGTTGTCTCACAAAGCAACACAAAGGTTCTGCAGTTTTATAAAATGTATATATTATTTATACTTACTCAGACGGATACGGAATTGAGACATTGTTATAGATCACTACTATGGGTCGCCAAAGCATCATAAAGGAGGGTCGCAAGAACTTCTTCTTGATTTAGAAAACTTTTTTAAAAAAATACACACTGTAGGCCTATATCTCAGCATCTAGTTCACTTCTGTGAACAAAAGTAAAGGTAAATTAAACTGTATAATGGAATAATGACCAAGCATCAGGGACATAAAAATCACTTAAATGCGTTACTTAAGTTTGTATGATTGTCAAAAATGATAAAAAATACATATTAGAGAAGGAGAATTGTATAAAAAGTTCCCTAAACAGGAAATTATCTGCTCAAAAATTCATCAAAATCTCTTGTTTTACACAAACTTCCTGCAGTTACTGAGTTCAATGTTTGGGTTTTTTGTGCAGTTTTTAATATAATATTAGATATCCATAAAATATTTTGGATTACATCTGCGAAAGTTGCAAAAAAAGACATTATAAGAGATAAAAATAATAATAAGAAAATTGAAATATGTGCATTATGTTACAGTATATAACAGTGGTATGGGTCCTACTGCAGACACAGTTTGTTTGGGGACTATTCCCAGCAGCGGATTAATCCACATTTGGTGCTGTAGTAAGTGTTTGGGGCAGCAGGACACTGTGTAACGGAGGAACACTGATGAGTCTGTAAAGATACAGACTTTGACACGCACAGTAAATGTTAGAAGATCAATTTACTGCTGGTTGGAGTCTGAACATGAGATCTGGCAACAGGAAGAAAACACTAAGTGTTTGTGATGCTCCTTTCAAAGAGGAAGCAGGAATATCTGCTGGTGAACAGTGACACCTGGTGGTGGAAGGTGGTACTGCAGACTGCCCACCTCCTGCAGGGGACCCCTTTCCAATGTCTGAAAGTGTGTCCATTCCTCATTAATAATGCATGACAGGATGGAGGGATTAAACAGAGAGAGAGGACAAAAGAAAGAAAAGAGAGGACGTGATGCAGAAACAAAGGAGAGTAAGGGGGGAGGAGGAGGAGGAGGAGGACACAGTGAAGGGGAAGGAGTTGTCCTCTGATCCACATGCAGTGTTCTCAAAGGAAGGATTTCACTTCTGTGGTGAGAGGTGGACCATGAAAGGAATCAGTTCCACTGCAAATATAGTTCTTGCTTACCTGATTTTAGGGAGTCCCCACAGTCACACACACACACACACACCACACACACACACACTTTTTGGCGTACAAAGTGCTGATCCTCCCTCCCCTCAACCTCCCCCTCCTCTCTCTGCCGTCCTTTCATTGGCCCCCGGAGGCTCATTAGATGAATAATATCATTTCACACTGAATCATCAATTAGCTCAATTATTAAACTTACAACAACGATGAATAAACGAGGGAAAGTACTCGATTACTTTGTGAGTGGTAATTAGCACAACGGTGGAATATTAAGAGACTTAATCTGGTCCAGTGGTTCCAAAATGGGGACCAAGAAACATTTGACAGTAACGAGGTTAAAGAGCTAAGACTTCTCTGATTATTTATATTCTCTTTTCTACTCAAATACTGAATATTTTTATCTTTTTCGTTCAGTTCTGACTCTTTGGTTCTCACGCTGAGGTCGTAACCCACCACGAAGCAACTGTTGGACGATATGTTAAAATCTTCAAACTGTCAGTCCAACAAGCAGCGATAAATCTGTGTGCTCCTGTAGCTTCAACAAAATAAACTCACAAAATGTC